CTGGCTCACCTCCTGCTACTCCCTTAGGCAGTGGGATGGGAGGGGACTGTTCCAACCTGGGCATCCAGCCTTTATCCTTCTCGTGGGAAAGGGGATAGGGAGAGCACATACCTGGAAGGAGAATGGCCATGATTTTTATTATACTTTGGTTTAGAAAGTGACTGTCGAGCACCTCCCCTGTAGGACACAGGGGGGCTAGTACTCCCTCTGGAAAAGGAAACAGACTTCATCCCTTCCTGCCCCTCCCCCAAGATTTTTCTGTTTGAAAAGCCTGGCCTGCCTGGGGCTGAGACCTGCCTGCCTCTGACCTTGGCTTTTCTGCAAGTGTCCCAGGTCTCACTTTTCCCTCTGGCTTTCCTGGGCCCCACTGCCTGCTTCCTTGGGCTGCTCCAGGCTCCCCACCCCACCTCTTTGGGTCCTTGAGGAGCACAGGGATTCTGCCAAAAGCAGAGTGGTCCGTGGTGGGGCTCTGGGGCAGCGCACTTTCCCCAGCACTTTGGTGGGAGCTCCGAGGAAGCCCCTGCAGCAGCTGAACCTCCTTGCTCCTTCCCTGAAAAAAATTTAAACCAGAAAATCTAGAGAATAATGTAGCAAACAACTGTGAGCTCACCTCCCAGAATTACAGATGGCAAGCTCTGAAGATATACGGCACAATGTTGTAATCAAAACAATAAAGCATTGCAGATAAGGATGAAATCTCTCCCCTCCCCTTTCCTCTTGACCTAGAAGTAGCTACTGGCATGAATTTGGTGTGTAGCCTTCTAGGTTGTAGTTTGTTGTTTTACTACATATCTATGTCTTTTTCTGGCATTGCATGGACTTTTTAAATGGACATAATGTATATATGTATTCTATATATAGAATATACTGTGAGTGCCAAAAAAATATATACACATGACTTGTATTCATCTTTTGTTATTGGTATATATTGAGTATTACAATTCTAAATACAGTTTTTTCCTTTCTTAAAATACGTACACATTTTTTTCGGCACTGCGTGTGTGTGTGTGTGTGTGTGTGTGTGTGTGTGTGTGTGTGTGTATAATGTATTTTGCAGTTCAATCAACATTTTTTTTTTAAAGATTTTTATTGGGGAATTGGGGGATGGGAACAACGCTGGGGAATTG